AGGAGGAGGAGGAGGAGGAGGAGGAGGAGATTGGATTTATACCCCACCCTTCGCTACCCGAAGGAGTCTCAGAGCAGCTTACAATCTCCTTTCCCCTCCCCACAACAGACACCCCATGAGGCAGGTGGGGCTGAGAGAGCTCTCTCGAGGACTGCTCTTGAGAGAACAGCTCCGAGAGAACTTGTGACTGACCCAGGGTCACGCCAGTGCATGTGGAGAAGTGGGGAATCAAACCCGGTTCTCCCAGATTAGAGTCTGCGCTCCTCACCACTACACCAAACAGAAAGTAGCTCGGGAAGGAGGGAGGGAGGGAGGAAGATCCATGGCAGAAAACATAAATATCCTCCAGGTCTAATTTGATGCTGTCTTCTGCTTCTTCTTCCAGTTCTGCTGCTGCTGCTGCATCATTGTAGGTTTGCAGCTTACAGATACACACCTGAACAGCATACTCAAGATTGCAACAGCACAGACATTTTGATGCAGTAATTCAGAGCAAGAGGCGTCAGTTAAGGCGGAGACGTGTCCGTGCGCAGGAAAGCTTATACCCAGAATTAAAATTTGTTGGTCTTAAACGTGCCACTGGACTCAGCGTTTGTTCTATTGACATCTACTGGGTCACTGTTATCCAGGTTTGTTCACCCCCTCAAAGAACTCTAAAAGGTTAGTGGGACACGATCTTCTCTTACAGAATCCAGGCGGGTTCTTCTGAACCTGCTTATCTTTGGAGATCTGATAAGATTGGGCTCGCCTGGGCCGTCCAGGTCAGGGTACTCTGTCTTTACGCTATGCACAGTTATATAAACCTCTTAATTTCCCCACCACCACCACCATTGTCTTTTATCTAAACTGAGCAGTTCTAGACACTTCAGCCTGTCCTCCTACGGAAGGTGCTCCAACCCCCTTCATCACCCGGGTCGCCCTCTCCTGCACTTTTCCAAGCCTGGCGATGTCCTTTTTGAGAGCGGGGTTGGAACACCCGGGCTGTGTGGGAAGGGAGCAGAGACCTTGGGAATAGGTGACTTTTCGACCTTGGGAATAGGTGTCTTAGTGCAGGGGTGGCCAAACTGCAGCTCAGGAGCCACCTGCGGCTCTTTCACACACTCTAGGTAAAGGTAAAGGTCCCCTTGCTCGAAAGCCAGTCGAATCCGACTCTAGGGTTGCGGTGCTCATCTCCGTTTCCAAGCCGAAGAGCCAGCACTGTCCGAAGACGTTTCCGTGGTCATGTGGCTGGCATGACTAAACACCAAGGTGCACGGAACGCTGTTCCCTTCCCACCAAAGTGGTACCTATTTCTCTACTTGCAATTTCTTGCTTTCGAACTGCTAGGTGGGCAGGAGCTGGAACCAGAGATGGGAGCTCACTCCGTCATGCGGCACACTCGGGTCTCCAACTGCTGAACTACCGACCTTCCAGCCTGCAGTTCAGCATCTTAACCACTTGAGCCACCGCAGCTTAGTAAACAGCAGTAAAGGTAAAGGTTCCCTTGCTCGAAAGCCAGTCGAATCTGACTCTAGGGTTGCGGTGCTCATCTCCGTTTCAAAGCCGAAGAGCCAGCACTGTCCAAAGACGTTTCCATAGTCATGTGGCCAGCATGACTAAACACCAAGGCGCACGGAATGCTGTTCCCTTCCCACCGAAGTGGTACCTATTTATCTACTTGCAATTTTCTGCTTTCGAACTGCTAGGTTGGCAGGAGCTGGAACTAGAGATGGGAGCTCACTCCATCATGCGGCACCCGGGTCTCGAACTGCTGAACTACCGACCTTCCACAGCCTGCAGTTTAGCGTCTTAACCACTTGAGCCACCGCAGCTCCTAATTTGACGTTAATAAAAAAAAGCAAATGTGCGTATTTCCCAATAAGAATGTGCGTTTTGATTTGCTCGTGTCTTGCGGCTCTCAAACACCTGACGTTTATTCTGTGTGACTGTTAACGTTAAGCAAGTTTGGCCGCCCTTGACTTAGTGGAAGATGAGATGGAGCTTTGTTAAGACGATGCATCGGGTGAAGAAAGGGGATAGAGAACATCCCTTTTTGAATTGTCAGCAGGCTGAGCCGGATTTATTCTGGAGTACATGTTTCGCTCAGATGATATTGTAAGCTTGATTTCCCAGATGGGAGACGGGGAGGTTATCACCACAGGTCATTCCCTTGGGAGGCTTTAAGAGTGTTTTGTACACTGTTTCATTCAACCCAGATTAACTCTCACTATAATAGCAACTAGGGCTGCGGTGGCTCAAGTAGTTAAGATGCTGAACTGCACACTGGAAGGTCGGTAGCTCAGCAGTTCGAGACCCGAGTGCTGTGTGACAGAGCGAGCTCCCGTCTCTGGTCCCGGCTCCTGCCAACCTAGCAGTTCGAAAGCAAGAAATTGGAAGTAGATAAATACGCACTGCTTTGGTGGGAACGTAACAGCATTCCGTGCGCCTTGGCGTTTAGTCATGAGGAGGAGGAAATTGGATTTATACCCCGCCCTTCACTACCCAAAGGTGTCTCAGAGCGGCTTACAAACTCCTTTCCCTTCCCGTCCCCACAACAGACACCCTGTGAGGCGGGTGGCCCTGAGAGAGCTCTGACAGAAACTGCTGTTTCTCAAGAACAGCTCTTATCAGAACTACAGCTTGCCCAAGGTCCTCCAGCCAGGTACAAGTGGAGGAGTGGGGAATCAAACCCGGTTCTCCCAGATTAGAGTCCGCGCACTTAACCACTACACCAAACTGGTCATGGACAGCGCTGGCTCTTTGGCTTGGAAACAGAGATGAATTCGACTGGCTTTCGAGCAAGGGAAACCTTTACCATAATACCAAATGAAGAAGAATTCTTATGGAAACAAGGATATTATACCGGGACCTTGTATCGCTGTTATTCGCTGTTATATTGTACACAAGATTTTGCAATTTCTATATGTTCTAGTTCCCAGCTGTGCATGATGCGTCAGCTATTGTATTGTTAGCTTTGGTTTGACCACATCCTATGTGTTCATTTGGCAACTGTGTTTTTGTAAATGCTGTAAGGCTGTTTGCACAGTTTCTTGTGTTTGACTGGAGTGTTGTGCTTTCTTCCCCCAGTAGAGCTACTATTTGTGAATATTCATTGGTGGAACATTTATACTCTTGCTTTATATGATTCTTCTTCTAGTAAAAAGGTAAAGGTAAAGGTTCCCTTGCTTGAAAGCCAGTCGAGTCCGACTCTAGGGTTGCGGTGCTCATCTCCGTCTCAAAGCCGAAGAGCCAGCGCTGTCCGAAGACGTTTCCGTGGTCATGTGGCCGGCATGACTAAACACCAAGGCGCACGGAACGCTGTTACCTTCCCACCGAAGCGGTACCTATTTATCTACTTGCAATTTCTTGCTTTCGAACTGCTAGGTTGGCAGGAGCTGGAACTAGAGACGGGAGCTCACTCCGTCATGCGGCACACTCGGGTCTCGAACTGCTGCACTACTGACCTTCCACAGCCTGCAGTTCAGCGTCTTAACCACTTGAGCCACCCCAGCTCCTTCTTCTTCTAGTAGTGGGGAGCTTTTAGGTGCCGCCCACTTTCGGAGTTTAGTGTTTTTGGTCTACAGTATCTCTCTCACTCCTTTGTCCTTTGTTGTTCTTGTGTTCCCTGTGAGGAAAGGAAGCAGAGCCTGGGACTTTTTCAACCTAGGGAAAAGATGACTTAGCGATGCACAGTTATATAAACCTCTTAATTCCCCACCACCACCACCACCACCACCATTGTCTCTTGTCTACACTGAGCAGTTCTAGACACTTCAGCCTGTCCTCCTACAGAAGGATGCTCCACCCCCCTTCATCACCCGGGTCACTTTCTCCTGCACTTTTCCCAGCCTGGCGATGTGCTTTTTGAGAGAGGGGGTTGGAACACCCGGGCTGTGAGGAAAGGGAGCAGAGAGACCTGGGACTTTTAGACCTTGGGAATAGGTGACTTAGTGCAGGGGTGGCCCTGCAGACTGGAACTGGGGGGGGGGGCTGGCACCTGGACGCAAGCCTCCACTCTCATCACCTCCTGGTGGCCCCTGGGATTTTTGGCCACTGGGTGACACAGGAC